AGAACGTCATTCTTCTCTGCTGTTCCTTGGACAGCCTGGCTGGCAAGCAGTGGGCGAGGTAGAAATGAGAAAACATCTGAGATGGAGCGGTAAATAAATAAAATTTTTGATGATAGATAAAATTTTTGATTATAGATTAGAAAAAAAAATTAAAAAGAAAAAAAAAAGCTAAAAGAGAAACAGTGGCATTCAGAGATGATCACACAGCCACACTTGCCTGGGCGTTGTGCCCTTCCCCTTCTCTCGCACTTTTTAACAGCCGTGTGCAAGTGATGGAATTTGAAGACTTCAGACGTTTGTCTGGAATTTCTGGATATTTCACAGTCTGGCCAAAGGAGCAGCTCTCATTTCCAGACACCCCATGCCTCAGTAAGAGCTATAGTCACTGAGGATGCGTAGGTCATCCATGGCGTGAGTGTGGGTGGGCTTCTGTCCAGAAGCCGATGGAGATGTGGGAACCTGTGCTACATCAGCAACTGACGACCTGCCAAAGGGCTCTGGGATACCAGAGGCTCTCTAGTTGTCTTCCCCAAGATTTTAGACTCTCCAGACTTCCCTGGGCCAGCCGGTAGGACTGCCTGCTAGTCTCCCAGGTGATATTTTGGTAGCAATCAGATCTCATGGCCTGTGCAGCAGATGGGTCAGGTGCTGCAGACTGTGCAACTGATCGGAATCTGAAGAATTTCGGCTAATATTTACATCAGGTGTGTACCCTGTGATAAGGAACAGGTCATTCACAAACAGGGACATGACTTAATATTGATAGGTTGGTCACGGTGTTTGCTTTGCATTTCACACGCTTATCGTTCTTGTTGCTTGGAGAACAGTTGCGTGTTGTCGTTTGATACGGATTAACGGCTGCGTTTGCCCCCTTCATTCCCAGGGAGCCAGTAGAGGAAAGCTTGCCCTTAAAAGATGGGTAACTGGTTAACTGACTGCAGTCTGGAGTCGCTGATTTCTCTCTGTACAGAGTTAATTTGGCAGAGACGCGAGGCTTTGACCCACTGAGTTGGTTGCAGCAGGAACCACCGCCGTTCCCCAGAATGGAGAGGGCGAGGCGGTGGCGGGTATTTTAACAGCAGTCGTGCGGGGCTGTAGGCATCTGCAGGACTCGAACCTGCACTGGACGGGGACGGTATTTGGTGAATGGGTGAACGAGGAATTTTACTGCACAGCACCGCTACCTGAGCTGAGCAAATGTCCAGCATGGGCAGAACGAGGTGAATTTCCTGGCACAGCTTTGCCTCTGCTATTTTTTTTCCGTTATTATTACGGTGGAAACTTGGATCAAATCTTGAGACATAAGATGTCATTATCTTAGCCCAGAGACAGCCCAGCCTAGCGTGCATCTGTGTCATCTGGGTTTTGCTCCTCAGCCTGCTGGGAAGCGCTGGAGAAGCCCTGCTCCCTACAGAGACTCTGTTTCTCTGCCACGCTTTTGTTCATCTCGTCTCTCTGGTTTGTCAGACCATAAAGCGAAGAGGGTGTGCTTTCTATTTGCAAATTGCTTTGCCTAGAGGGCTGTGCGCTCTGTAGGGTTTCCTCGGTAGCACTGGAGTAAATATAATAAATCAGAGGATGGAAGTCAAATTAGCCTTTTTTTTTAAACAAACAACTGGATCTTAGTAGGTTGTCAGTGGCTTTAGTTCTTCCTTGGGCATGGAGTGACACACTGTTAATACCCTTCCCTTTGTCCTCTGGTGTTCTTGATTCTGATATATTTTAATTTAACATTTTTCTTTGTGCTTTCAGAGATTTACAATGAAAATGTTGTCCGGAATGTGCACATTGTATTGCAGCCTTGCCAGGGCATTTCTAAGACCCAGAGACAGCGTAGTCCATGGGGAGGCTCTACCACCTCCCAGCTAAGGAGAATAACATCCTGGTTAATGTCGGCTGAGTTTTAAATACATTAATGTTTTTCTTTTCCATGTAAAAGAGCAGGCAGTGTTCACATAGTTCTTTAAACACAGTGAGATCAATGATTCTGCTGCCAGGGTTTAGGAAACATCTTCCCCAAGCGAAATAGGACAGGTTTTCCCTAACTTGTGTTTCGTTATCCTATTATTTAAATTTTAGCAGAGACTTCTGGAGGACAGTGTATTACTTCAGTTCTTATGATTACTCCAAGGATGTGAAATTGCAAACTCGTTCTTAAGCCAAACAGATTTGCAAAACGCGAGCCACGGCGAGAGCGGGGCCAGCGGGCGCCCAGCGCCGGGGGAAGTCCTCTTGCTTGTCTGGCTCCTGTCCACGGAGCAGAGGGAAAGGCTGCAGGTAGCTCCAGACAGGGGAGGCTGCGCAGGAGGAGCAGCCGGAGGAGGGAGCATCCCGTGAGCCGCGATGTCCCCCTGCTCCTGGTGCAAACTGGGGCTCGGTGCTCGCTGCTGCTTCCAAGGCAGAGGCTCTTACCTGGATCTTCTGAGTCAGTGAAGCTATATTTTCTGTTATTTCTGGTATCAGCATAAAAACTGGAGACAAATTCTTCACTGTGTTGCCAACCTCGTTGTAAATCAGGAACAGGTGGCTTGAAGTAATGGGGGGAAGAGATCTTGGGCAGCGCTGGTGCAGGAAACCAAGCGAGTGCTTCCATTGATACAGAGAAACCAAAGCACGACTGTTATTTAAATTCTACACATAGCTGCGAAAAGTTAGAGCCAAATCCTCGCTGTAAATCAGGGTAAGTCTGTTAACTTCAGTGGAACAGCGCCAGAACATCCCCGACAAAGACTTGGCTTGGTCCATTAATAGCAACAGTCGAGTGATGGAGCTGCTCGGAGAAGTTCCACTGGATCGAAATTTTGACTAAAAGGAATCAGAGGAGTCTGCCTTCTGGTTCTCTCGTGGAATCCCACAGGGTCTGATCCTGTGCACCTCCCAGCACCTCCAGAGAGTGCCGAGCTCGCACGGCTCAGCGAGACCCAGCCGTCCCTGCCGCGGTCCAGGCTCTCAGGTGCTGTCTGTTCAGTTAGATAACGGGTCAGCGGTGTGCCAGCAGCCCTGCTACAGCCTGCTTCTGCTTTTGGTGTCATGCGGTCATTGTCTCAGCTGCTTTTCTTTCTCTGCAGCTTCAGAAAACCCAAGGTTTTCCTTTCACCAGATATCTAAGGTTTTTATTTCTTTAAATTCTTCAATACACCATGGTGAAGAGGGTGGGGAACGCTGTCACCAGCCATTGATGCTTCGTGTTTCTGATGTGACCTTGTTATTCAGGGACAGACAGATTTCACGGCTGCATTTTGGATCATCTCTAAAGAGAGAGAGAGAACTTTTCCAGGTGGCCTTGAGTGGTTTCTTATTGAAATTTCAAAAAAAGCCCAGCAGAAGTTCCCACTGTGCTGTGTTATGCGGTTTTCATTTCTCAGAAACTAGTTAATGTATTTACTGTGCCCCACCGGGCCAGGTTTCCTTCCCAGATTAACTTGTGTATTTTGGCTCCCATCCATCTCTTCCTTTGGCTCAAAATGAATGATACCAGGACTGTCTTTGAAACAAGGCAGGAATGTGAAGGTTTTTTTTATTAAACAGCAACATCACCCCTGAAACCTCTCTCTCTCTGCCAGCTTTATGAGGCTCCGTGTTGGGAATGGCAGGTCCGGGGAGCTCACCCTCGGAGGAAAACCTGGGATATTCTGGTGGGATTTGGGAACAGTCTCCTCAGATGATGTGGCACATGGAGCAGCTTGTCACCAAAGGTTTTGAAGACTGTTTGTTTGGTTTCTTTTAATAACTGATCAGTCTTTGGAACCGATTGAAGTGAGAATTCCTAAACAAGGGCACTGGCTGGCGCCCGACTGCTTGCGAGGTTCGGTCTTTCATTGGGGCTGGTCCTGTCTGCGAGGCGTCGGAGGGGTTTGAAGCTGGCAGAGGCGGTTGAGGGGGTCACCCTGGGGGTGTGAGCTCCTCCTGCGTGTTTTCCATTGTCCTGTTGAGTGGGCTGCTGGTAGAGATCTCCTGTGTTAAACTAAACCTGCGTGCACCATGCGTTACAGCAATCAGAGTGTAGGTGTCAGGTGCTGCTGATAAGCACAGGCTCTTTTCTAGACTCTGCAAAAATTGTGTATTTGTTGTACATGAACTCTAATCTGGTGCTTTTTCTAGTACATTTGCTACATTTGCAGGGGAGTTCTTAGCATCAGCCATAAAAATATTTGGCTGTCTTTTAAAATCTATGATTTTTTCCTGACTGCAGAATCTGTCATTCAGATACTCCATCAACCTCTCATCAAGCCCCTTTCTATAAACCTCTGGGAAGGGTTTTCCCAGCTGCGTATTTTTGAGCACGGATGGAAATGGCATGTAATTTCACTTAACAAACCATTTTTATCATGTTCGTGAAATAAAGTATGATTTGGTTCTTGCATCTCTGAGAAACAATGGAAGCCTTTAAGGAGGGGGGAGAAGGCCGATAAGACCGATTATAATCATGATTTCTTCCTGTTTGGTAATTCTTCTGGGTTAATCTGTGCCCTGCTTGCTGGGTACAGCTGTCCACGGGGCACTGACGTGTTCATATTTCTGTGGGAGATTTCCCGAAAGGAAAGGTGGAGGCACTGGGGGGTTTGGGGCACGCACGCTTGCTGTAACGTCACTGCGTTCTGGCCATTGATATTTTGGAGTCATAACGAGGGGCATCTTCTAATTTTATCTGTAGTCTTTTAGGTTTAATAAAGATCTGGAGAACTCTTGTTGTTAAAGACTTAGTTGCTCTGTTTGTGGTAGAGGAAACGATCATTCCAAGATCCTGATAATTACTGAAGCCAGAAATTTACTTCTAGCTGCTCTAAATACTATTCCCAAGTCCTCGCCTTGGGCGTGTGTGCGATGCTCACTGCCCGATTTCCCCAGCTGCAGTCGGAATCCGCCCGCTGAGTCTTTTTCACTTTTCTTTTTAGGATCATCTAGATATTATCGGAATGTGACTGCAGAGAAAAATGCACTTTTCTAACAACTCGGCCGTGGACAGTTAACCAGCCTTTGGTTTCTGGAAATGCTGCAACATGGCTTCATCTGGGAACGAGACAGAAAGATGGACTCACAGGCAAGGGGGCAGAATTGGAGAGCTGGTAGAGCCCGTGACCTCTCCTGACAACGGTCATCGCCTCTCACCAGCGAAGTCGGTTGGCAGTGTGGATCACCTCTTGCACCTCCCTGGGAGAGCAGACTCTGCTTACAGCTCCTTCTCAGGGGGATCAAACGTTCCGGAGTATCCCACCCCCTCGTGCTGTGGTGAAAACTGCTGCTTGCCTCCAGAGCAGGTACCGTACATGGACTCAGAATACGTAAGAGGAATTTACCATCTCAGCGCAGCAAACTCTGACCTCAGATGCCTGCATCCCTGCAAGGCGCCAGACCTGAGCATCCAGCATACCCCTCACAGCACCAGTCCCTGCGGAAGCACTCCTACCCGGGGGACTTCCCATCAGGGACCGCTGCCTCTGGCCGCACCGCCACCTTCTCCTCCCACGCGACTCGACAGCTATAAAGTCACGAGACACCTTGAAAACTCAAGAGGGAGAGGCAGCGCCAGCAGTCACAGCGAGTGCAGCGTGCAGGACGGTCACCTGGCAGAGCAGCACAGGGATGAAATTACTGAGCAAGAGCCAGTGGCTGCTAGGAGAAGGACTCTGGAAAACAAGGGCCCTTCTGCTGATTGTACAAGTGAGGTATCTGTGTCAAACATCCAGGGGTTAAAGGCGGAGGAAAATGGGGAGTGGAGCCCACCCCAACAGTCTATAAAGAGAAGCAATCCACACATTTTCAGCAGACCTTCTTCATTCATTTTTCAAGAATATTTAAAGACTGACTCTGTGGTGAACGTCCCTAAAATACTTTCTGCTTATAATTCTGTTCATGCTTATAAAATTCCTGAGGAGATGACCTCCAGGTCCTATCCCCCGGTGCATACCAGCCCCAGCACTGTTAATGATACACGGGAAGACAAACAGTATCCCTGCAGCGTGCGTAAGCCAACTTTTGGAGAAGCAGATCTGCAGAGAGCGGTGCCAGAGCCCAGCCAACAGTGCCCGCTCCGTGCCGAGCTCCCTTCAGACTTGGATCAAGACGTGTTTGAGGACAGTTGTGACTTAAAACCTATGGAGAATGGTCTTCTAATTAAAAATGCTTCCAGGAAGCTGAACAGTTGTACAGATGGAAATCAGTGCTATGATGCTGAAGGACAAACTGGGAGCGATGTTAGGGAACCGCTCCCGAATGAGCAAGCCAGGACGCAGAGATCATCGCTGTCCTGCAGCTGCGACAGCGCGGAAGCGGAGCACCCTGGCTGCGAGGAGTGGGCTCAGGGAGGTGAGCCATGCCACGGCAATACCAACCTAATGGCCTCTTGCAAACCGAAGGAAGAGTCCACATCTCAATTTTTGCACGAAGTCAAGAAAGAAAACCAGGCTCATAACAGCAGTCCTGACCCTAGCACACACCTAGAAGAGGAATCTCCTGTTCAGAAGTACCAACCTGAGTTTCAGGAGCAGCTCTGGAGGCAGCCACGGGACGATCTCGCTGATGAACAGATAACCAGGCAGGCGACTCCCATGCTTTACTACCTTTCTGGGGGGAAACCCACCAACCTCCTGCTCCACAACAAGCTCGCCCAACGGCAGGAGGAGGACTCAAGGAGCCCACCAAAGGCATTTCCAGCGAGCAGCTACTCTGCCCCAGCGCGGTGTCTAGAGACACAAAGGGAAAGCAGTCGGCTTCCAAGGACCAGCCGTCAGCGCAGTGCTGATGTTCTCCTGCTCGAGACGGAAAATCTCATTCCCAGGAGTCCTGCTTCATCCACGGATGAGAGTTTCAACAACGACTACAGAGAGAAACTTAAAGTGGCTCAGAAAAAGGTTCTGAGAGAAACCTCCTTTAAAAGAAAAGACTTACAGATGAGTTTGCCCGTTAGGCTCAGACAGAAACCCTCTAAAAGGCCTTCGATCGAACACCTCAGGTCTTTCTCCTTATCCAGTGCAAGCGAGGATGCCAAACCCGTTCCTCGGTCCCCTCCTCATCGAGCATCCTTGGGAAGTTTCAACAGAGATGAGGAAATAAAGAGGCCACAAACAGGTCGAATAGCGGGAAGGAAAAGGGTAACAAAGGAGCAAAAGAAACTTTGTTATTCTGAACCTGAGAAGCTCGATCAGCTGGCAGACAAGGAGGTGTCATGGAGTCAAGTCAGGGATGAAATCACGGAGCAAGATACAGCGGCAGCGAGGAGAAGGACTCTGGAAAACAGAGGGAGGGCACTTTCCAGTTCCAATATCTCCAGGACGGAGCTGAAACAAATCCAGCACTGTGCACTTATGGAATACATGGAACGCAAGATCAGTCAAAGGCCAGGCAGCTCGCAGCACCTCCCGCTGCACCAGCCGCCCCTGCAGAAGAGGCTGTCGCATCCCAGGTGGCCTCCTGGCAAGGTCTCCAATCCAAACGGGAGCAGGAAGGTGCAAAACAATGAGGGTTTCTGCCAGGTTTTCTCTAAAGACAAATCTCCAGATGTTGTTCCTCCTTTGGCTCTTGTTCCCCCGCTGAGCGTGGCCGGCGGGTGCAATCCCGGCTCTGCTGCGCCTGGTGCAGCGCCCTGGAAGCACGAGCCGGCTCCCAGCTGCACCGGCAAGCCTGCGTCAGCTGAAGGTGGCCCGCGGGCTGGTGCTCCTGCGTCTGGGAGAGCTCACGAGAGATCAGAATCAACCCCTCCTCCCACACAGGTAAGGAAGATATTCAGGTAGTAACTATTGTTTGAGTCCGACCTGCCTGTTTTAGAGAACTGTGGGACTGCTCACACGCTGAACATCACGAATGAGGAATTAGGACTTGATTTTTTTTTTTAGCATGCAGTAGAGAGATGTGGAGGAGAAGCCACATTTGGTTCATCTCTAGGAAACGCTGTGTAGCTGTTTGAGAGCGAAATGCGTGCTCTGCTTGGCAGCGTGCAGGAGAAATAATCTGGGGGGTTTTGGGGAGAGGTGCTCCATAAGTGTTAATTATTTGTGATTAATGATAACAATTCATTATTCTCAAAAGTGTTTTGTAAGAAAGAATTGCAGGCAAACAAGGTGTTCTCTGATGTGAAACGTTACAAGAGCATTTGCATAGGGATGGGAAGTTCAAACCAGCCGACCGAAAGGCATGCCTGGTCTGGGCAGAGTCACTTGTCATCGTTCAGCGAGTCGCTGCTGTTACCTGCAGCAGCTTCCTTAGAGCACTATCGCAGGAACAGTTATTATGGAGAGACTTTTATAAATGACTGACCTTTTTGGCTCCTGTGTCTGAAGGACGGTAGCTGCCACTGTTGTTGTCAAGGAGAATAAAGGAGACAAAAGGGTCAGAAAAACAACTCATCTAATAGATTACTAAATTTACCCAGCTGAAGAGGCTGGCAAACTTCCACCAACGCTGCCTGATTCCTGGATTGTTTTGAGAGCCAGTAAGAGTATATTTTTTTGTTGCTAGCTGTTCTTTGGATTTCTAGGAAAAAAGAGGTGGATGCTACCTAGGAAGAGCATAACGGCAATTTAATTCATAAAAGGAGACAGGCAAACTGAAAAATAAAAACTGTTCGCTTCTGTTTCTGGGGATAACAAAAATGGGAGAAAAATTAAACAGCTGCCAAGTCTGAAAACGCTGCTTGTCCCAGTGTGCTGTTTTCATTTCCAGGACGCCTCCAGATGTGCCGGTGATGTGGTGGCACCGTCTCAGTGTTGCGAGAGCGGTCTCAGCACCCCCAGGTAAGGCTGCGCCTGGGTTACAGAGCCCCCTGGCCAGGGTGTGTGAGCTCCAGTGCTGCTGTGTCTGCTCCTGTCCTCAGGTCTTGGGATCCTGCGCTGTCCGTATGGGGAATATCCAGCTGTTATGCTATTGGTTTCATTCTGGGACAGTCTTTCAAAT